AATCTCCTTGATCAGAAAAATTTGGAGCACAACTGAGTTACATGATGTTACAGTACAGGTTCTCCTGTGTCCCAAGTCTTCACTGTGGCCGGCGATTCCTGAAGGGCTCCCTTAGGGTGACAGGCCCCTCCTCTGCCGCTGTGGCCTCCCCTCGAGGGCCCTTTCTCCAGACTGACCTCATCTGGGAGCCTGCCGGGTGTGGGAAGCCTTCTAGGGCTGTAAACACACATCTCATTCCACACTGGGAACAGGCACTGTGGTCATCCCTGTTTTCCAACCTGAAAACTGAAATTTGTAAAGGTTGAGTGGCGGTGCCAAAGCCTGGCCAACAGAAATAGCAGGGCCACGCTGGACACCACGTCTCCTCAAGCGAGTGCCAGTCAGGCGGTCTGACCACTCTCCCTGGCCCGGCTCCTCTGAGAGTCCTGTCACAGAAAGGACAATGCACAGGCCTAGGAGCCAGTCGAGTCCTCGATAGAAACTGTGCTTTCTGTACTCAGCCTTAGTGTCGTGAAGGGAAAAGCAGACCACATCTTGTGTGACTTCACTTCAGCCCGCCTTTGCGAGCTGTTTCCTGACCTAAAATGGAGGGAGTAGCGAGGGGGCAGCCCAGCGTCCTCGTCCTAGGGAGCTGCTGGACGTGGTGACTGTGGTTGAGAGGCTTCCTGCAACCGCCCTGGCAGCGTGGCTCCATATTTTCACCCAACAGTCCAGCCACCTTCTGAATGACTGTCGCACCAGTGAACAGCCAGTTCCCAATGCCCAGCTGTCTTGTCAGAAAGCCATACTTAGGTTTTAATGTTTTCTCTATTGAAATCTCACATGACCGTGAAATCAGTTGTGTAAGCCCGGTGTGATGGTGCAGGCTTGTGGTCCCAGCACTAGCTGAGGCAAGAAGATTACAAGTTCGAGCCCAGCCTGGGCAACTTAGCAAGATGCTGCCTCAGATTTTTTAAACAGGGAGTGGGTAGCTTGGTATGTAGGCTCTGGGTGCAATTCCTGTTACTACCCCCAAGAAAAGTAACTTGGTTTTGTGGACATGAGAAACTGGAGGCGCTGTGGGAGTGATTGTCGGGGCTGTATGACGCCCCTAAACACAGCTTCCCTGTAACTAAAGCCTGCTTCTTGTTCTCCTCTCCACATGAAGTACACAGCTGTCTTCCGGGCACACTGTGGCTGTGATGGGCATTGACTTCACGCTTAGATACTTCTACAAGGTCCTCATGGACCTGTTGCCCGTGTGTGGCCAAGATGGTGGCACCAAGATAAGGTGAGCGATTGGGGCGCCGCTCCTGCGAGGGACAAAGGGAAGCAGGTGTCAGACGCCAGCTAAATGGTGGCCACAGAGTCACAGCCAGGGCAAAAACCAAGTGTGGCAGTGCACGTCCTGAGGCAGGAGGATCACAGGCTGGGGCGGCCTCAAGGCTGCCTTGGACAAGTGTGGCCCTTTCTCAGATCATGAAAAAAGGGCCGGAGGGGCGGGAGTAGAAGGGACAGAGATTAATTATATTCGTGGCCTGAGCGTTCTCTTTAGGTTTGTGTTCTGTTTTTATTTTCCTTTTTCTAAGATCATGGTGTTTCATGGTATGGAAAAACACAGCACATAACAAGAGGTGTGACTGGCACCAGCCCCCAGGGCCCTTTTTTATCCCCCCTTCTTTTTCCCCAGAAGTCAGTAATTAGGGCTTCCTATACCTTGGGTAATAGACGGACTAGAGGGCACTCTTGGACAGTACTTTTGATGTCAACTTAGTCATTAAACCAGAGTATGCCTGAGATTTCAGCAGCTTACGTGGCCCCTTTCATGCTTTCCGAGAAAGCTTCATGGAACTCAGGTCTTTGCCTCCCGCATTTCAACAGCGCATGTCTAGTGAGAGCAAGGCGTTCCCTTGATTCGCACAGGCCGCTTTTGGGACGAGCCTCCTGGTTCAGTGTGGAGGCCTTTGCTTCCCACCCCTGCTGGACTGCACAGGGCCCTTCCCCGACGGGCAGGGCGCTGCAGGCTTCCGGGCAGGAGGCGTCAGTGAGGTGGAGAGCTGCGTCCTCACGGGCCCTGTGCAGTGCTGCCTGTGTGTACCTCAGCAGGAGGACACTGCACGGTGTCCGTAGATTGCTGACGGAAGTACTGCAGGTGACCTCCTTCCGGGGCTCCTTCCCCTCAGAGAGGTCAGACTTCCTGCTTCTCCATCCTTGTAAAAGATTTTAGGGTCCCTTGCACTTGGATAGGGCAGGTGCCCGGGACCAGCCACGCACAGCAGGGTGGCTCTGACGCTGAGCCCGAGTCCTAGCTGACGGCCACCCCAGGAAGCAGCTGTCTCCCTTCATTTTTCAGTGGGTTTTCCTGGAGAACCTAGGATCTTTGCAAGGCGGTACTGTGCGAAGGCAGCGCCGCTCACGGTGTCGCCTGTCCCTAGGTGCTTCATCATGGAGGATAGGGGGTACCTGGTAGCGCACCCCACGCTCATCGACCCCAAGGGCCATGCCCCGGTGGAGCAGCAGCACATCACCCACAAGGTACCTGGGCCGCAGCCCGCGGGGACACCCCGGCAGCCGGCGGCCCATACACGACATTGTCCTCTCTTCTCTTTGGCCTGCTCAGGAGCCGCTGGTGGCCAACGACATCCTGAACCATCCCAACTTTGTGAAGAAGAACCTGTGCAACAGCTTCAGTGACCGAACCGTGCAGCGGTTCTACAAGTTCAACACCAGCCTTGCGGTAGGCTGGGCCCCCCGATGAAGCAGGAAGTGAAGGGTGACTTGTGTCGGGGTCATACCTGCCTGCTCCATTACCTTTGAGTCAGACAGCAGAAGGGGACAGGACCTTGGCGTAGCCCTGGGTTTGGTAATTATGGGCCCGAAAGCCAGCCTAGAGAGGGAACACATTAGCCTGGAAGTTGGTGTTCTGAGAGCCTCGGCTGCTCTCCCTCTGCAATGCCTGCTGAGCCCTGACACACACACCATGCCGTGGCCCCCTCTCAGGGTCTCCTAGCGAGCCTAGCCTGCTCCATTCCTCGGGCTGAGTGGGGTCAGCGCTTGGTCTCTGTCGTCTGAAAAGAATTTCTTATTGCAGCTTAGCTACTCTGCAGAATTTTGAGTTCCTGCAGAATTCACCTGCAGGTTATGGTTGGGAGGTCTTAAAGGCATTAATTTATAAATATCCCAATCAGGAAAGAGCTACAGTAGGAAATGACAACACTAACAGTCAGAAAGTTACTTGTGGAGGCTTTCACGCTTATAATTTAGAATTGGTGTTTGTATTGGTCATTTAATGGGTAATTAATTTTCAAGTACTGGGCTAAGCTGAAAGTCTTGAGCATCAAGAGGTCAGTGGCAGCCAGGGACACAGCCAGCGGCACGGCCCTTGCCTGGCAAGCACAAGGTCCTGAGTTCAATGCCTGGCATTCCCCCCCCCACAAAAAGAGTCAGTGCAAATAGCAATTGTCCAGTGGGAAGCAGCTTAAAAGAGGAACATATCACTAGAATCAGGTCTTCTGGGCAGGGCAGTCCATGTGGCCCACCTCCAACCTGAGTGGCACTGTCTCAAGGAGATGCCAACAGACTTGCCTGGGCAGAGGCAGCCCGTGCAAGTCTGACTGTCCCTGTGCATTCGCCATCATTTCTACTACAGGAGTGATCAAAAATACAGTAGATGTTTAAATTCTTTGAATCTATTAAAGCAAAAGCCACACTGCTGCGGAGCCCCCTCAGAAGCCTCCCCCTTACACTGCACACTCGTCTCATTGTCCTGACCACTGCCCGAAGCTGCCCTTGTAGTGCTCTCTCCCGAGGGTCTTCACGGGGTATGATCAGAAATGCAGTCAAGGGGCTGGAGAGATGGCTCAGTGGGGCTGGAGAGATGGCTCAGTGGTCTAAAGCACCTACTTGAAACAAGCTTGGCAAAGCACAGGGACC